CAAATAGTTCAATAGGTTATTGTTTTAATTAAATGGAACGTTGATTCGTTATTCCTAGAATAATGTCTTCGTTCCAGTAAAAATTTAGACAGTGAGTTTCTTCAACAAAGAACGGTGAACAAAAGAATAATTTACATTCGAGTACAGGTTTTCATGGGGTGGCTGATTTAATTTGAATTTATAAAGTGTGCCTACATAAATTGATACCAATACAACAACATCTGAGATATTAGAGTGTCTTTAAACTCCAAAGTATATCCTCTGTGTGTTTGTGTGCGTGTGTTTAATAAATGAACGTGTGTATGTGTGAGTGGATCACAATGGGAGGTGAAGTGCTTTAGCAGCAGGGATCCGGTGACAGGCCGATGTTAGAAGACTAGACTGACTAATGCTATCAAACATTTAACACTTTAACCCTAAAGTAAAGTGTTGCAAACATTAATAATGAATAACCATAGTAAATAAGTTGTTCTACAATGTATTTTTGTTTTAAATAGCTTTTGTGTTTAATGTATCGTTATTGATAATCATTAATGTCTTTTTTTAATGCACTTATTCAATAAATAAATCCTGTTTAAAAAATAAAACTACTAAATATTATTAATTGTTTATAAAATATAATTTAGGAAAAATTTGAATAATCAAGTATTAAGGAATATAAATAAAAAAAAAACTATAATATCCTAAGTCTTTATTGCTATTTCCCATCAGTAATTTTAGATTGTAATTGCATTATACTTTATATTTTATTAATAGATGGGAACATTAAGAATGCAATAAATAGAATGTGCAAAAGCTTTAACGTGTCGACCTAAACAATCGAGATATGTTTATAGTTTTACTGTATAATTCCATACTATAATTATCTTATTAAACACTATTAGTTTTTGTACCTGTATTAGTAATTATTATTTCCAATGCTAAAAATCTATTATAAATACAAAATTCAAATATACCCATTTCAGTAATAGTGCACATTTTTTTCGTAACGTTATAAATTTATTTTTGACACTGTGTGAAATATTTATCTGTGCAACTAGTTAGCAATTAACACTTTTTTAAACGACATACAAATCTTAACTCACAAAGCTTGCCGAATAAAGCATCTGTTTATACTCTGTCAATTATCATTATAAATATATTGATCCTTAACCCAATTATAAGACCGCTGATGTTAATGTGAACAGTGTCAATGATATGTTAAATTTCCACCACAGATGGAGTTAGCGACTAAATGCACTTCCAATCAATGCACCACATTAAGAGCCAACGTGTAGTTTAAACCCTGTTCTCCTATCATTGCAACAATATAACAAAGTTAGATACAACCTATTCATGGAGTGTTCAGTTTAATCAACACGTTTTATTTCAAACCTTATTTCAATAATGAATCCTTTTTTAAACATAGTGTCTCCTTAAATTGTGTCGTAGGTTTTACAAGAGTGCTTATCTAAAATTATATTGGACTAAATATATGTTTATGTACCACTATTAATGGTGTTGACTTATCTACAATTCTTTTTCACTATACAAATTACTTTGTTAATTAAAAGTTAAAAGTTCGACCAAGGCTTATGTAAAAGTTCAAGAGTGACGTTATAACAAAGTTATCAGCAGTTCAGCGGATTTTCTTCTTTGAAACGTCTAAATATTACAAGATTTCTATAGAAAAACTTAGTTTGCAAAAGTTGAGTAATTAGCCTTTATTCCGAAGCTACAAAATATGGATTTCATTGCATATTATATTTAATCCGTTCAAAATTCAGAATAAAAACTTTGTATTGGTGGGTTTGTTGCTTATGAGTCATATTGACTAAAGATAGATTGAACTACGAGTAACTTTGAAAAACTAGGAACATTATACATTAGTAAAAGTATTGTAGATTTAAAGTGCTGGTGATTATTCCCAACGAAACCAGAGTTTATTAATAGTAACAGGAAATTTATTTTCGTATCTATATAAACTAACACAAAATATCAAAACTAACATTTTAAAAGCCATCAATACCAAATTAATTGAAAAAAAACCCATGCGAAAGGCTAAATCAAGAGAGGTTTGGTGAAGACTTCCATCCAAAACATCATTCCTAAACCCACCTGTAGATTTACGCCCTACAACAAAGCAATAGCTCCAATGTGCTCGGTAAGATTACCAATTACCTGTTTGGTAGTACTGTACAACTGATACTGATAAATATATATGTTTATGCTTTATCGTTCTTCATAGAACCAAGAAGGGAGAACAATGTTTCTACATGTTTGTTCTTGATTGTGCAGCATCGTGAACGTTCATCCGTATCTCCTAATTGAATATAGCCTATACCACAGTAAATATAGTTCAGATATAAAATTTTTGCAACAATTCTATATATTCTTGTTCATTTTTAGGAGGTATATTGGATGCAACCAAAAAGGACTAGGGCGACACTAAAGATAAAGGAAGGGATAATCTTGTTCTACTTTGAACCCCGTCGTTGGTCTTGAGGTTATCCCATCGAAGTATATAACACAACGGTTATCCAAACTCTATGGACTCTTGGGGGCTACAACCAAAAGATAAGTGCTTTGTGTTTCTTTCATTTATAAATTACTTTTAAATTTCAACTTGATTCACATGGTCTAATGGCATCTGAGCATACCAAGAACCAGCGTCGCAGAAAAATGTTCATTTGTAAGTTATCCAGACAATTCCTTTTCTCTTTTTTGACTCTGTTCACAAGCAAATTTTAGCAGCTTCCAAAAAGAAATATGCAGCATCATATCAGGAAGTTGTTCATATGTTAGTGGCCAGGTATAAAACGACAGGACCTTCTAAAATGATAGGGACCTCCCTAGTTTTGTTATTTAGGAGCAGTACATGTAAGCAACATGTCTTATATTGTTTGTATGGTTGTAAATGTACTAATCGATGTATGATTTTTTCCAGCCCAAGGCGAGGAGATGAATTAATTTAATCGGAAAAAGTCGACCAACTTCCAGGGTTTCTGTGAACGGGGATACTGGGTCTTCTACTGAAGGAGATGGTAGCTATGGTTCGGCACAGATAACCAGAGCAGCAAAGAGAGAGGTCTTAGAAAAAAAGCATCAGATGGGTAACGTCTTCTTACACTCACAGAGAAGTAAAAACTTCATTGTACTAATTCGCAAACCATGTATCTAATAATTAATGTAAAATAACACAACCTATATATTATTTACTATTTTTTTGGAGTAACACTTAGCTTAGGGTATTTAAGTACCCAATCAGTACCTTATTTATCACCATTTACGAGTTATTACTACCCAGTGGTACTTTGAATAGTTAAATTAATGAAATAACTGTCTTTGGTTACAAATATATTAGTTGGACGCTGGCTGTCTTGCATTTTAAAATACAAAACCTTATTGGGTCCCCATGACGACAACTTTTATAAATATCCAAGCCTAGCTTAGGTGTAGTATTTTACAACAAACGAGAAAAGATGTAGTTTTGATATGTCAGGAAAATCTTGATACGAAACAGTTGACCTGAATAGCGTTGTAAGCCAACGTAAAGCAAACATCTAGCATTTGCGTAGTTTTGAATTGTTGTACGGCTGACCACTCATACTTTACGTTGTATTTTTTTTCTTCAAGAAGTGAAGCCAACCTTGGATTTAAATATCAAACATAACATACAAAGGCATAATATAATATACAAAGGACCTCAAAACCGTCAAGATATTTTGATGAAAAGGGCTGCATGTAAAGATATTTGACACAATCTATCATGTCACAGAAGGTTTACACGGAACAGTTGTCAGACCTCAAATATTGATAATAACAGATATCATATATTGATATTTGTTGCAACAAAGTGTTGTTGGATTTGAGTTGGTTGACGTACTTTTTTCTAACTTCCAACGAGTCTGAGAACTAATGGAAAGTTCTGAGTGTTTGTTGAACATACAAACTTCAAATGCAATATATGTTAACATGTACTTATAGCAAACAAAATATGATCAAATATTTCGTAAGTAATATAATATCTTTTATTTTAAGTAAAATTCTAGATATTTTGTATTTTCTTAACGAAGTTTAAGGGATAAAGTGATGCTAACAAAATTGTTTGTCCTTTAAAAAAGACTTAGAAACCTAATTGCTTCATACTAAACACGAATAAAATAAAGAATGATTAACATAATGCAATTCAAATATGTAAATATAAACATCCACTCATCGTTGGACAGCAAACACAATCGTGGTACGTGTATCGACCAGTTAATTAAGTTAAGTGATGGATAAAGTCCCGATACCATCCATCAGGTAAATGAAGGCTGGACAGCCATCAGAGGATTACAGGGAAACTAATAAAATTACCAGATAATGTATGCCCTTAGTGACGTCAGTGCGGGAGGGTAATCAGGGAAAGTAATGCTTTTCATGAATAGATGGATACGTACAACTGGTATTAATGTAACACTGTAATATGATAAGAATGCTGCTAATAAGTAATGTGCTAATATGCTGAGAATGGGGTGGTCTAATGGTAGAACGCAGGGATTAGGTCCTTAAGGTTTCGGGTTTGAATACCGCCAGTAGTTATGAAAGGAAAAGATTTTATGGATAATTTAAATGAAATTGAAAATGTTCTGGTTCATGTGGGTGAAATGGTATTTGTGAGTTAAGAGGGGGGGGGGGGGTTGAGAGAAATGGGAAAAAGAGAGATAAATAAAAATGGAGAGTGTGTTTGAAAGAGAAAAGGTAAAATAGAGAGAAAGAGAAGATGGAGGGTGAGAGAGTAAAAGGAGAGAGAGCGGGGTTGTAAAAGAGAGGTGGGGGAGAGGTTGTAAGAGAGAAGGTGCTTGTGGATGATTGGGGGGAGGGGTTAAATGGGAAAACGAAATGGGCCTTTGCCGCATACCTAAAGGCGATCAGGTAGGTCTAGAAGGAGGTAATGTGTCATTCACGTAAGGACATTAAATTAATTTTAAAAAACAAACTATGGAAATTCAGCTAATCAACGTATGCCTATTACTCACCGACTCCAGAGCAGCCTCCAGGTTGGAAGCGTCTGCCACGGGGTTGCTGGAGGTGGTGACCTTGGGTCTACTACTGGGCGAGTCACCGGGCGGGGCGGAGTCCGAGGATTGTCTGTGGCCCATCAACAGGGGGGAGTCTGGAAGTGAACATATGGATTAGTTTCACTGATTGATAAATATATTTATTTATCAAAGATCCATTTTTACAGGAAATACAGAATTTCTGTGTGACAAATAGCTTGTACAAAAAAATACTGGAGAACAAGATTTCAAGAACTATAAAAATAAAGATAACCCACAAAAATATTCGCAATAAATAACTGTAGTAGAAAAGATGATATTTACTCAGGGGAGGTATAGAAGAGGCTACGATGACAGCTGTGGGCTTCTTATTAGATGAGGGAACGTCATTACTGTAACAAAACGATTTGAAGCCATCGGCCTCGGTGGTCCAATGGGTAGCGTGTCGGGCTGATATGCTGAAGGTCTCGGGTTCGAATACCGCTGGTAGCATTAACTTTTTGTCCAAGATTTTTTTATTATCAGCAAGTTTGGTTGGTTTGGTTCGGTTTAATTTTATTATTAAGTCATTATAAAGTTTTAATTGAGCAATTTCTAGTTTTATTTAATAAACATAATTATGTTTTTCTATTACTAAACTTTTGTTTTCCTATTAGGTCATTATCATCAAGTTTGGTTAGTTCGGTTAGGTTATGATAGTTAAAAAATAATAAAATTGAATTGTAGGCATTTATAATTTTATTTTATGAACAGAACTATTTTTGCGATTAGTAAACCTTCATTGCCAAAGTGCTCTCTACTACAGCGCTGTTCACGGAGGAATTTTGAACTAATGCCTCAATCGTACCTCCCCTAAGTCAGACCCAAGAAAAGATCCCCCTGCCTTATTGTACCCGTTGTATACCTACAAGTGTTTTTACATGCTGGTGAGTGGTGGACGAATTTCGTTGAACCAAGTTTTCCTAATGAAGAGGAGTGAAAATCGGGGTGGAAGGAAGGCAAATACTCACACTGGTAAATAGACTAACTGCATTGACTGTTTCTCTTTTGGAAGGATTGGTCCTGTCAATAGTAATATGAAAAATAAATGCCACATTTCCATTACAAATAAAGTTGCATACTTATGTAGTCGATGTAACTCTGATCCCTACACATTAAGTGTGGAGTTTTGAACGAGATTCTTGTACAACTATGTAAAAAAATATAAGGTAGCATTTATTCATGAATAAATAAGGCAATATTGTATCTTATGTCTTATAATATCCTTAAAATATTTTTCATTAGGAGTGTATCGATGTATGTATGCATGTATGTATGTATTTAATCTGAGAAAAAAATAGCGAACAGTTAAGTAAAAGTATAGAACAAGAGGTTTTGTTTTCGAAAACGTATTTTTAGCAATGTTCTTTTCTAAATGTTGTGCCATTCAGGCAAATCCTTGGCGTTATAAGATATAACACGTTTCTGACATTAAATCCCCACAATGTACTGTCGTTGGTCAGTATAGATTTCAAAAAAACATCTAAAACCGAAATGCCAACGTGTTTAATGGCAGGTGATAATGCCAATCTTCATTTTTAAGACCATAAAATCTGTTAGAGCAACACATATAAAAACAATTGTAACTAATATGATGCAAAACTCACACATTAAGTATACAATGTTATAAAAGAGCCCTTAAAATGTTATTTAGGAATCATTAAGTTAACTTTTATGGCGTTTTCAGGTTCAACAAGTCATTCTGAGGGTCATATTCCCTTAAGATGTGTAATTGGTAATAAACTTGTAATGTTTGTGGGATAACTTCCTCATTAAGTCCTGAGAACATCCAAGAACGTTTTCAGAGATAGGGATGCAAATAATAGTATTAAGGTCACTCAACAACTAATTAATTTTAGGTTCATGATTAAAAGAAACTCTCATCTAAAATGTATCAGTCCCTTCAGATAGGCGATTCTTTATGGCGATGTATCTATGTTGAATCGAAAGTTAAGTTCATATTGGTAGCTTGTGGTCAACATGATAATGTTAGAGACTTATAATAGAATAGATAAAAAGGAATCTTTCCTACGTGTCCGTTATAAATCCGTTATAAATTGGGTAAGCGCTTGAAATAAATATTTAAAAGTGTAAAATGGCTAGGGTTAGTTGAAAATGTTCAACATTTGTATTTTTTATTGAATTTGTTGACGTAAGGTAAGGCGTTCTAATATAAAAGTGTTCATCGTATATAAGTACTTTCCATGCTAAATCATAGTATCTATACAGGGTGTACCGGAACTATCTACCAATATTTTAGGGCATTGCTCCTGGGTAAGAAACACACCTAAATGTCATATTAAAATTGTCTGGAAGTCCTAAGTTACTCACACACCCGCCATTTTGTTTTTTTTTCAGTTGTTCATTTTTTCTAAAGAACGGTTAAACTTACGAAATTGAAACTTTGCACAAACATTTATGACAAGTAGACAAAGCTACCAAAAAATTATGAAGATTTTTCCAATTCATAAAACAAAATGGCGGCCATTTAAAATGTTGTTTCTTGAATAACTCGAAAACCGTCGGTTTTACAAAGGTTTTACAAGGATAACTTTTTTAAGGCAATTTTAATACAAATCGATTGACACCTTAGTTTTTAATATTGGACGAGTATTAACTGAGATATGGCATTTTAGTGATACGTGACCTTTGAAGGTTAGTTGGAGCGCATGCTGAAAGCTGTCACGTTTCACTAAAATCACCATATCTCAGTTAATACTCGTCCAATATTAAAAACTATCTATCGGTGTCAATCGATTTGTATTAAAATTGCCTTAAAAAAGTTATTCTTGTAAAACTTTTGTAAAACCAACGGTTTTTGAGTTATTTAAGAAACAAAATTTTACATGGCCGCCATTTTGTTTTATGAATTGGAATAATCGTCATAATTTTATGGTAGCTTTGTCTAGTTGTCATAACTGTTTGTGCAAAGTTTCAATTTCGTATGTTTAACCATTCAAAAAAAAAAATAATAATAACTGAAAAAACAAAATGGTGGCTGTGTGAGTAACTAAGGACTTCCGGACAATTTAAATATGATATTTAGGTATGTCTCTTACCCAGGAGCAATGCCCCAAAATATTGGTAGAGAGTTCCGGGACACCCTGTATATTAATACGCAAGCAGTTTTCTTTTCACAGGCATAACTCGATAACGGTTTGACGGATTTTAAAGTTTGAGGTGTCAAATTAAAGGTATTTTCGTTTAGATGTGCAAATACGTCTCAGAATATTTAGAAATGGCACCACTTAAGTACACTTAAGGGCTAAAGTTTGGAAGGCGGTGCTATCTGTTGACATTTGATCAAACTCATTTCCCTTTGTTTACAAATAACATATGGACGTAATTTGAAATAGTTTTTAAGGTTAACCACAGACTGCAGGACTTAAAACTTCGGGTTCTTATTGGAAACTCCCAATCTAAAAATAGGACTGTGAGACTTATATCCAGAAATTATTTTGATAAAGTTCGTCAATTCAGTTCTGCCTTTACCATGGTCAGCTCCAAAGCTCATTAAGATGAGAAAGTTCCACAGGGGATCTACAATTTTAAGATCCGTGACACGTCTTACCACCGAGTGGGTCCTCTAATTCCTCAAGAAAGTGATGATCTTGAATACGCACAGATATATAAGTAAGTACGACAATGTCACTAGAACCCAAAGGAGAACTAAGCACCATAAAAAAATGCAATGAAAAAATATGCGGGAAATAGGGCATATTAACACTCAAAAACAACTCCAAAACACCCATTTTCAAATCTTTGAAGACTGTGGCAGACATTATGTAGGGACGAGAGCTCCGAGGAGTCAAGTGAGATTCTTATGTACATAATAAGAGACAGAAGAAGTGTCTTCCCTCACTACATTGTTTCGCAGCAATTTTTTAAGCTGAAAACAAAGCACTATCTGGCCAAATAAATCGTATAGTTTTTTCTAACACTAATAATGTTAAACGCGTATCCATTATAGATCCGTCGTTAGATCCACTTAATTACCCTCTTATGTTCCCAACCGGAGACTTGGGTTGGGGCCCCTAATTTAAATACGCCTAAAACAGAACACAACAATGCTAGAATAAGAGTAGCGATGGTTGGCGTCAAGAGAGGAATTGAGCTACATTAGGTCAAAAGCTCACTTTACAGTGTGTGGTTGACATCTACGTTCTCATAGAGTGCACGCGCCTACTGTACATAAGAGATAACCAAAGCAGAGAGAATGTATGAGAATGAAAGTAAATTTAAATATTGTAGATTGCTTTTAAATTTTTTTTACATCATAATATTTTTATATTTCTATAATCAGTCATATAAATTATTTTAGAGTGACTCTTTGATTAAGGTCTTGCTGTTTATGTTTTATGTTTATTTTTTTATACAAGTTTCAGTTTTGCTCGATTTCGAGCAACAGGTTATCTAGTAAAATGTAATTCTTTGAACCCTTAGAACGCCACATAATTGCAACATTAAATCGAATGAAGTACAGGAGGTAATTAGAGTTTAATAAATGTATTTTGTAATGTTCGTAATCGTTGTAACAGGAAACTAAATGTGTAACAAACAAACTTCATTCGAATCTAACAAGTTTATTGCTCCCATGTGAATATCCGTCGGATGTTGTAACCCCTGTTACAGTAGGAACAGTCACATCGATTAGGGGATGATTTAAGTCTGCTCTGGACGCTTTGGAGTTGCAACCTAGATTTCCACCCTTCACAGAGCTCCCTGGACGAATTATATTCAAATCAGGCTCGGAGAAGAACCCATAACATTCTCTTCGGTGATATTTGCATTGTGTCGTATTTAAATTGTGCACCTTTCACGTTTTATTTGAGAGAATGCATTTGAAGGATTGTTTGTTTATAGTTTGTATAAGGAAAAGTATTCGAGGCTGATTCCTGAATCTGAAATCTGTGTGTCGACATGTTTTGCCAGTGTCATGGGCTAGCGCCGTGACATTTACTGGACCGCAACACCCGCAGTACACGCATGTCTCTGTATTGCTACGCAGCGCCGCGGTATCTACAGTCTCTACCCTATATCCAATACCCATCGACATACCTAATCATGACTAAGATAC